ATCACAGGACTATGTTTAGCAAAAACCAAAGATTGCATACAATCAGAGATGTATGATGGTCGAAGAGTCATGAAATTAGCTTATTTTACAGCAACGAGACAAAACAGCAACTGAAAACTGCTGCTGTAAATCCTGACAGAGCATTAATAAGGAGGAAACATCGTTTCCGTTTTCCATGAGCTCAAAACCTCCGGCACTCATTACCAACAAAGGGTTTTCAATAAAGTATTAGAACAAACCATTTTAGTTACGATTATTTAATTTATTCAGTTACTTTTTTAGCCCCTCAAATGAAGGTATTGTTTAAAAAAAAAAAAATACGTTTTATGGATTCATCATGTTCAACCTAGAGAATTAAAACTGAAAGTCTGTGGCTCTGAATTTTCGTCATCATTTATGATGATGAATTAATTCGTATAAACATAAATAGGTAGGTGGTTAGATTGTTAAATATCTGTTGGAGAATTCATGCTCTGTTGTTTCATATCATTTGCATTATAATTATGTTAAAAAGGGGCGAGAAGAGCTGGGAGTTTGTACAACTGATAGAGGCCACCGATGGTTCACTTCCTGTAGTAGCTACTCAGCCCACACGTTATCACAGGAACCACAGGGAATCTGTGTGTGTTTGTGGATCTGTAGCGTATTTCTTCTGTTCTCATTATTTGTGGGTAGGTTGAAGAGTCCAGGAGCTTACTGGGAGCGTTTTCAGAGCTCTCAGTTTGTGCATATTGCAGCTGAAAAATGGACAGGAAATGTGATTTCACAAATGCAAAGTCGAGCTCTCACTCCCCTGTAAAAGATCAGTAGTGAGATTGGACGGTGCACGAGGGCAGATGGCCTTTCTCTGATTTATCAAATGGCCTCAATAATCTATTTATATGCTTTAATGATTGCTTTTCTGATCTAACAAACATGTTGGCAATAACTTGTAATAAAAGTATTCCTTCAACCCCTTCCTTAAGCTGTCAGACTTTTACTTTACTGGGATTTTTTATTTTATTCTATAAAATCAGTTGAGAAAATGTCATTCATCATACTTTTCTCATTTAATCTCATATACATATAGA